GCAGTGAGTGAATGAGATCATCTATTTTAAGGGTTTGTAAAAATAAACAGTATTTCATTTATTTTTTTTGGTCACTATATGCAGCAGAAGCATACACTCCTCAATAGGAGACCAAATGTCCAACCCTTACTTTGAAACCAAGTTGAGAATGTACGGGAGCGTGGTTCTGGACCAAGAGGCAGAAGCCCTGGGCTCTAGGGTGTTTTCCCTCTGGACTGCCTCTGGGCCTCTCTAACTCCCTAACATAGAGATCCTCACTCCCACTGCAGCTCCCCCACAGGGCTTCCCTGAGGTCCCTGGGAACGGCCATGGGAAAGCAGTGTGTAGCACACGGGGGAACAGTATGAAGAGAGGCATGTTTGCTTTGCTTTCAGTTGACTCATGTTGAGAGGTTCTGTGCCCCAGTCCCTGCTCTCAGACTCCTACTTCTGAATCTGTTTTTCTCCTGTTTACTTCTTTATAGACTCTTTTCCACGCCCTCAGTGTTTGCCCAGATGAAAAGGCTCTGACCTTAGTGCTTCTCTCACTGCTGCCAATCCATCCCAAATCATAGTGACCCTGGAGCCCAGAGCAGGCCTGCTCCTTGGGAGACTGTGCCTCTCTCCAGGATCACATGATCTCGTCTGCTCATCTAGAGCAGCTCCTGGGTGCTCTGCCCACTCCAAGGCTAGCAGCCCAACGCTTAACCCACAGCGCCACCTGGGCTCCCTCATGGACCTGTACAGAATGTTGGGCTCTGTCCCATCTGTGGGGTTACCTGTCGGCTGTGAAACTCACGGTCAGAACTTGGAAAGCGCCTGGGGAAAGACAAGGTTTCGACTCCTGTAAAGATTTCACAGTCTCTGAAACCACAGAGGCAGGTTCACCCTGTTTTATAAGGTCACCACGAGTCCCGAGATTCTTTTTTTCTGTTTAACTTTCATAAAAGCTTTAGTTGTTCTGATTCAGGGCCATCGAGACGTGCCGACCCATGGCAGCCTCAAGCACGACAGAACGAAACACAGCCTGGTCCAGCACCAGCCTCACGATGATGTCCAAGCCCGGGCCCATTGTGACACTCCTATGTCAGTCCATGTCACCGAGGGTCTTCCTTCCCTTTGCTGCCCCCCTGCGTTTGTTAGCAAACAAGAATGATGTGTTGAGCGCGTCCTGCAATGCACCCTTTGCTCCTCGTGACGTTTTCAGCATATGTGTCCTGAGCCTCCTCTGGATGCCTCTCACTGACGGTCCCAGGACTCACGTTCTGATACTCTGCGTGTGCAAGATACCATCGCCACGACGACCTCCATTGCCCACACACCCTCCCAGCTGCTGCTCCCGCAGTCCCCTGCCCTTCCAACTGGTCCTGCTTACTCTCCGGCTGCCCTGCCTTCCGTTCCTCTTGCCATCTGCTCTGTCCATCCGCCGTCCGCTGCAGGCCAGCTCCCCTTCGCTTGGGATGAGAAGAAAAGAAAGCAGATCCCTGGCACAGGGCTGGCTAGTTT